TTCCATTTGTCCCCTTCCTTAATTCTCATGCGATAGTAAGCTTCCCTTAGGTCTAGTTTAGAAAAAAATTTCCCTTTCGATAGGTGTGACAGCATGTCCTTCATGAGGGGCAGAGGGTATAGGTTGCTTTCAATGATTGTATTCAGGGCCCTATAATCCACGCATAAACGTAAAGAGCCATCCTTCTTCTCTCTAAAAAGGACCGGGGCAGCCACGTTAGGCTTAGCTGGTTCAATGAAACCTCTCTCCAGGTTTTTTTTTATAAATCTTTCCATTTCCTCCTTCTCCTTTGGGCTCATGGAGTATAATCTGGGCTTCGGGAGTTTTGCCCCAGGCTTGAATTCAATGGAACAGTCTGTGGGTCGGTGGGGGGGGAGCTCATTCGCCCTCTCCTCACTGAAGACTTCAGCAAGGTCTCTATATTCCTCTGGTATTTCTGTTAATCTTTTTTCCTCTCCTATGGATGCTTTTTCTATTCTTGATTCTGGTAGCCTCCCTTGGGGTTTTAAGTCCATAGGGTCCCCCTTCGGGAATTTGATTTCTGTCGTCCTCCAATTTACCCAGGGGTTCCATTTTTTCAACCATTTCATCCCTAGAATCATTGGGCATTCCATACCTGGGGTCACCACAAACGTTAGGTCCTCTTCATGGTTGCCCAGGGAGAGGTGTATTGGCAGAGTGGCTAGGGTAGCTGGCACCCCCCCTGCTATGGATCCATCTAACTGGCCAAATGAGATTGGTTGTTCCAGTCTCCTGGATGGGATGCCCAGATTCCCCACTAGTGTTGGGCTAATGAGGCAGCGGGTACAGCCAGAGTCTATTAAGGCTTTCACCTTCACAGCTTCGGGCATGGGGGGGATTAATATAGTCACTGTTTTGAAGATGGGTGTGATGCATCCACTTACCAGGGGTTCGCCCTCCGAGCTGTCATCTGAGGCATCCACCGGCCCTGTGGTGTAGGCTGGAGTTCTTTCCCCTTGGTGAGCAGAGGTGGGGGTTTCTGCAATTTCCATCATTCTCATGGCCGTTTCTTTTGGCTTAGCTGAATACTTTCTGGGTTTGTTGATTGGGGATCTGTCTGGGTTGTGCTGGGGGGCCTTTGAGCGGCATTCTACAGCTCGATGCCCTTCTCTTCCGCACTTGAAACACCCCATTTGCTTCTTGGCTGTATCCGATGATTTCACCGGTTGGTGTGTCAGCTCAGGCGGGGGGTGGCTCCATTGTTTTCCTCGGCGGTGCCTCTTCAATATGTCGATCTCTGCTTCCTCTGCCAAGACGTACCATTCCTCAAGTCGATGTGGGTCCCCTCGGGGCAGGCAAGCATCATATAGATCATAGTTTAGTCCGTCTTTGAAATGGCCAAGGAGGATGTCTTCTGGCCAATTCAGTTTGCTGGCAATGGCCCGGAATTCTTGGGTATACTCAGCCACTGGGCGTTTGCCTTGCCTCATCGTTGTTATCCTTTCACGGGCTTTGCGATCAGCCAGGGGGTCTTCAAATCGTCTTCTCAAAGAGGACATGAAACGGTCAAAGTTACTGAGTTCTGGGGCATTGGAGTCATGCAAGTTCACCACCCAATCCGCAGCTGGTCCATCCAGGGCAGATTGCACGATCCGGATGCGGGCTTTGTCGCTGGGAATGTCCTGCCCATATTCCTCCATGTAGCTGAGGACTTGGGTTAGGAAAAACCCCAAGCGTGTTGGCTCCCCTTTGAATTTCACCTCCAACGGTGGACGTCTTGGAATGGATCGGTGCCTTCGTTGTGGGTGGTAGTGTCTTCCGTCCAGATTACCATCTGTGGTCCGGTAGGGGGTGGGGGCTCCTGGATCAGTAGATGTCCCTGGGGTTGCAGGTTCCACGTCCCCCTCGGTGTCTCTCCCTTTGCGGCTCCAGGAACTGGGGCGGCCGTAGGGCTCAGTATTCTCCTCTCCTAGGGAGCTGAGAGTTCTCTTCATCAGGTCAATAGCTTTCTCTAGGATCCAGTCTGAGTACGGTGCCCAGCTTCCTCCCTCTTCACTTGCGTGCAGGGATTTCTCCATCTCCTGCTTCCATTCTGGTTGCTTGGTCCCCCGTCTCAGGGTCACCTTTCTTGATTCCTTTCCCCACTCACTTTTCTTTCCAACGCCCATCGACCAGCGAGGCTTGTGGTCCTGTGTCTCCACCACTTCTTCTCCTGAGGAATCTGGCCTCTCGGATCCCAACATCTGGCAAGGTTCCAACTGGGTCAGCAGCTCTCTTTCCAGGGAGTTTTCCCCTCTCTTGCTTCGTTGTCTGACATGGTAAATTTTTGCAAAATCCCCCGGCAAGGGTCTCCTTCCAGGTGGATTAATTTTGCAAGTCCTGTCTAATGTAAGGACCCACCCCACTTTGCATCTTAAGAAGACAGAACTCTTGGAATAATTCTTCCAACAGGAATCCTTTATTAAGAGAAGTGGTTGCAGGCATGCTAGACAGGACTTGGGGTTCAAGCTCTCCCATTCAAGGTTTTAAGGGGTTCCCCAGTAGTCCCACCCAATCAAACCCCCTTCCAGTGATAGTTTCAAGTATCACAATTCCACCCCTTTTCTTCTTTCTTCCGTCTGGATGGAGACTTCAGATAACTACATGAAAGGCAATTACCCTTCTTTGATATGCTAACGCTTAGAGGTCACAATAAACACACATTCATCATTCAGCCCTTTGAAGTGTACTGAAGGAAGTGAGGGCCATAAAGCCCCTTTGCTCTCCCCCTTCTCTCCCTCTTATGGCAGAATCCAGAGAAGGCAGAATTGGGAGTTTCTATATTTGATAATTAAAGATGAAATATAATTGGATTCTGACAGTGTTCTTGATCTGGCCAACTGTTGTGAAGGGTGTTTTCTTCACCAGGGAAAGAATTCTTTGGTCATCCACCACAGTTGTTTTCTGTGGTCTCCTGGGTCTTTTGGTGTTGCTGAGCTCACTGGTGCGTTCCTTCTTTTTGAGAATGTTCCAAACAGTTGTTTGGCCCGCCTAATGTTCTTGCTATCTCTCTGATGGGTTTGTTTTGTTTCTTCAGCCTAATGATGGCTTGCTTCACTGATAGTGACAGCTCTTTGGATCTCATATTGAGAGTTGACAGCAACAGATTCCAAATGCAAATAGCACACTTGAAATGAACTCTGGGCCTTTTATCTGCACATTGTAATTGGGGTAATGAGGGAATATCACACACCTGGCCATGGAATAGCTGAGAAGCCAATTGTCCCATTACCTTTGGTCCCTTAACAAGTGGGAGGCACATATGCAAACTGCTGTAAGTCCTACACCATTCACCTGAGTTGGATGTACATACCCTCAAATTAAAGCTGACAGTCTGCAATTAAAGCACATTGTGTTTGTTTCATTCCAACTCCATTGTGGTGGTGTATAGAGCCAAAGATGTTCAAATTTTTGACCTGACTGTACATCAAACCTCAACTTTTTACTTTTACAAAATAATATAAACTAGCCATTTCGATAACATCAAGTCTATCTAATTGGTAAAACCCTCAAGCACAAAGTCTAGAAGTGGTTTCCATGTAACAATAAAAGTATTTGTATTCTTTTCTTTAATCAATACAGTCAGTTTAGCCATCTTTGCTAGCTCCATCAGTTTTTGCAATCATTCCTCCATTATGGGAATCGATGTAGTCTTCCATTTCTGAATGTAGAGTAATCTTGCTGCTGTCAACATATATAACATCAAAGTTCCATATTTTTTTCCAGATCCTTGTCCATTAGCCCCAAGAGAAAAATCTCTGGTTTTCTTTCTATATTCACTTTAAGAATTTTCTATTAACATATGAATCCTACTCCAATATTTTCTTGCTTTATCAAATGTCCACCATAAATGGTAAAAAGACCCCAGAACTGCATGGTCTGATCTTGGAGAGAATTTGCTGGGACGCCCACTCCTGGGAAGATTGACAACTGACTTGAATGTTTTCCACTTGTGATTAATCTTCCTCACTGTAGAGTTATGGATTTTAAATTGTTAGGAAATGGCCAAAGAACCCTTCCCAAATTGATGGGCAGCAATAATTGCTTCTATATGATCAATGCTGATGTCTTTCCTCTTTGGCATTATGTTAGGGCAGTGGTTCTCAACCTGTGGGTCACGACCCCTTTTGGGATCAAACGACCATTTCACAGGGGTCGCCAAAGTCCTGGAGTTTTTCCTCATAGAATCCTTATGAAACGCAGTCCGGCATTTTTCCCCCCCTTTTTCATGAGCTGTGTTACTCCCTCTTATTCTATTGGCTTTTGAAAGCCAATAGAATAGACTCTATTCAAGAGTGTCTATTCTATTGGCATTCAAAAGCCAATAGATTCTATTGGCTTTCGAATGCCAATAGAATAGACTCTCTTGCATAGAGTATAATTCTATTGGCTTTCAAAAGCCAATAGGAATTATCCAGGCTGTCTCTGCCCTGCTGAGCCACCAAAAGTTCCAGTCGGCAAATGTTGCTGCAAGTTGTCCGCAGCTAAGGTGAGCTTTCTGGAAGTTTCCACCCCTCCCTGCTGAGCAACTACTAAATGTAAGTAAAAGAGGGCCAGGGGTGGGAGGGCTGCCCAGGAGTGCCTGGGCCTGCCTACTGCTGCACCGAACAGGCGATGGCAAAGGTAAGGCTAGTGGGCAGCGGCAGGCACTGGGAGGGTAGCTGGCACGCATGGGACCTGGCGGGTGGCTTACCTCCCTTGGGCTGGGCCAGCTGGTGGCCCAGCCGGTGGTCAGCCTGCGCCCTCGCTGCCACTTGCCATGGCCACCCAGGAGCACCTGGGCCTGCCTGCCGCCGCACTGAATGGGTATCTTGATCCGCGATTGCTGGCTCCGTGCAAGAAACAGAGTTTTCTTTTCTTTCTTTTACCCCCCTTTCTCCCCCTCTCCTGTCCCCTCTCCCCTTCTTTTCTCTCCTCTCCTTCCCTTCCCTCTCCTCTCCCCTCCTTTCTTTTCTTTTCTTTTCTCTTTTTCTCCTCTCCTCCCCCTCCCCTTTTCTCCTCTCTTGTTCCTTGTCCTGTCCTGTCTTGTCCTCTTGTCCCCTTTCCTTTTCTTTTCTTTTCTTTTGTTTAATTTTCTTTTCTTTCCTTACATGGTGTAACTTCTTAATTGATTGCCTACTCAAATAATGGAGTAATTACTTTGTTGAAGTGCTTAATTACATGTTACGATTTCCAGGAAGAGGGTTTGGAAAAGGGGAATAAAAGTTGATTTGTTCTGCTCTTTTCCTTTTTAATATTTCATTCCCAGAATGAAATCTGAGTGCAACGTATTTCAGCAAATATTGGGCAGATTCTGCCTATACTCCCTCAGGTTGGGTGGGGCATCTTGGGCTCCCAAATCATGATGAATACTCAATTATGTGGCCACCTAAATATGGACTTGTGGTTTCTCATGGTCTCAGATCTCTGGCTAAAAATCTGAATTGCATGAGCCTGGTTTCTTTCCCAGGATAGTAGAGTTGATTTTCCACCAAAGGAGTAAGACTCCTCTCATGGAGTTGGTGATTGATGGATGTGAAGTTCTGGGAGTTGAAGTCCACATGCCATAAAATTGTCAAGGTTGAGAAACACTGGGTTTGTAAATAGAACAACACAGAGAATGGTAAATTATAGGAAACTTTAATGAACTGTTTTGACTGAACTATGCCATGTGTCATGTTTTGTATTATTGAAGCTATTGTTACATATTTTCACTAGCAAATCATTCAATGACAATGGATCCGAAGAACATCAGGAAAAGGAAATATAGTGAGGATTTCTTACAATATGGTTTCACCTCAATATTTACAGCGGGAATTGAGAAACCGCAATGTGTAATTTGTTCCGAAGTTCTATCAGCTGAATCGATGAAGCTAAACAAACTGAAATGCCATTTTGAGAGCAAGCATCTGAGCTATGCTGGCAAGGATACAAACTATTTTAGAACCAAAGCTGATGGACTCAAGAAAGCCAGACTTGACACTGGTGGCAAGTACCACAAACAAAATGTAGCAGCCGTTGAAGCGTCATATTTGGTGGCACTCAGAATCACCAGAGCTATGAAACCTCACACCATTGCTGAGGAGTTACTGTTGCCAGCAGCTAAAGACATTGTTCGACTTATGATCAGAGACGAATTTGTGATGAAATTGAGTGCAATTTCCTTGTCCAATGACACTGTCCGCAGAAGAATAGATGACATGTCTGCTGATATTCTTGATCAGGTAATCCAAGAAATCAAATCTGCTCTACTTCCAATATTTATTATCCAGCTTGATGAATCTACAGACGTTGCAAACTGTTCCCAGCTACTGGTTTGCATGAGGTATATTAACGATGGTGACTTTAAAGATGAGTTCTGTTTTGCAAACCTCTTGAGATGACAACTACTGCATGTGATGTATTTGACACAGTTGGTTCCTTTCTGAAAGAGCATAATATATCTTGGGAAAAGGTTTGTGGTGTTTGCACAGATGGTGCTCCAGCTATGCTAGGATGTAGATCTGGATTTCAATGTTTGGTACTGAATGAGTTACCAAAAGTCATAGGAACTCACTGTATGATTCATCAGCAAATATTAGCAACAAAGACACTGCCACAAGAGTTACGAGAAGTAATGAAAAACATCATAAATTCTGTCAACTTTGTAAAGGCAAGCAGTTTAAACACACAACTGTTTTCACAACTGTGCAACGAGTCAGATGCACCAAACAATGCTCTGCTATTTCACACTGAAATGAGATGGTTGTCGTGTTTTTGAGCTTTGTGATGAACTCAAAATGTTTTTTAGTCAGAAAGCAAGACCACAGTTTGAAGCTCTTTTCAGCGATAACAGTGAACTGCAGAAAATAGCTTACTTGATTGACATCATTGCCATCTTGAATGAGTTAAATTTATCACTGCAAGGACCAAATGCAACATGCCTCGATTTGTCTGAAAAGATCCGATCATTCCAAATGAAACTGCAGCTTTGGCAAAAAAAAATTGTATGAAAATAAAATTTACATGTTGCCTACCTTATCTGCTTTCTTTGAGGAACATGACATTGAACCAGACAATAGGATTACGATGATAAGTTCTGTTAAAGAACACCTGCGCATGCTTGCAGATGAAACTTCATCGTACTTTCCAAATCTACCTGACACCCCATTTGCACTTGCCAGAAACCCATTCACAGTCAACGTTGAAAATGTTCCTGAGACAGCACAAGAGGAGTTCATTGAACTTATTAACAGCGATGCAGCAAGAACTGATTTCTCCACAATGCCAGTTACAAAATTCTGGATCAAATGTTTCAAGTCATATCCTGTTCTGTCTGAGATTGTGTTGCGCCTTCTTCTTCCATTTCCAACAACATATCTTTGTGAAACAGAGTTTTCCAGCTTGTTGGTTATCAAGTCTAAATATAGAAGTAGACTTGTTGTGGAAGATGATCTTTGTTGTGCTATTGCAAAGACTGCCCCAAGAATTTCTGATCTGATGAAAAAGAAGCAACCTCAACCTTCGCACTGATGTTGGCTTTTTACGCATACTGTTGAAAAATGTAGCAATGTAGTTTACTGTTGTTATATTAAGACTGTTGCCCATGCTACACCATGCTTCAAGACAAAATTTCATTTTTTTGTAATTAAAAATAAATATTTAACAATATATAATTACATATTGTTTTTGTGATTAATCACTATGCTTTAGTTATGTTCAATGCAAATACATCCTGCATATCAGACATTTACATTGTGATTCATAACAGTAGCAAAATTACAGTTATGAAATAGAAACTAAAATAATTTTATGGTTGGGGGTCACCACAACATGAGGAACTGTATTAAGGGGTCACGGCATTAGAAAGGTTGAGAACCACTGGTCTAGGACAACTTGGTGCAGCCATCTCAGCACAACCAGTTTGGTATGGCCAGCTAGCCATTGCCAAATCACCTTTGCCAATGCACTGCCACCAAATCATCACAGGATAACTCAACAAGGCCAATTCGCTGTAGAGATAACTTGCTGCAAGCAGCTGGAGAGAGAGTCGGGTGGGCGAGCAAGTGGGTGGGCAGACCACAGAGCAGTGGCAGCAGTCAGGGGCTTTCCATTTTCACACACCACACTGCCACTGCCAGTGTGGGCTATTTGGCAGCAGTGGTGTTTGGACCATTGGTGGTGGAGGTGGATGGGGCAGGCAGTAGGGAAGTGGCAGAGGCTGCATGTCCCATTTTCACACCTTCTGCCACCTCCATGGTGAGTTCACTTGCTCACGTTCAGCACTGCTGTGGTGGGGTGTGTGAAAATGGGACGCCATGCTCTCTGCTGCCTCCCCGCCACCCGCCCTCCCCACCACCATCACCAAGCAGCCTGAACAGTACAGCTGCCAAACGGCAGCAGTGGCAGGAGAGGGGCTGTGAAAATGGGAAGCTCCCAGCTGCCGCTGCCATTGTTCTGTACTCTACCCACCCACTCACCCACCTGGCTCTCCCTCCAGTTGCCTGAGGTGAGTTCACCACACACTAAATTGGCTGTACTAAGTTGTCCTGTGATGACTTGGTGGTGATAAATTGGCCATGCTGAGATGGCTGCACCAGGATGGCCGCACCTAGTTCTTGTATTCTGATTGCATTAACACACAACTCAGTGCTAAAGACCAGCAAACTCCTAAAACTTCAGCTTTTATAAAAATAGATAAACTTGCTGATGATCAATTGATCAAGGGCATGATTAGCAGGACCTGGCTGCTACTTAGCCTCTTTATATCTATGGAAAGGTATACTTAGGTGTACTTAGTTTTTCACATATGACTTCCATTTTGGCTTTCTTTTTGTAAAATAAATGATGACATGGTGTAATATAGGTTAGCAGGTAACAGAATAACAGAGTTGGAAGGAACCTTGGAGGTCTTCTAGTTCAACCCCCTACTCAAGGAGGAGACCCTATACCATTTATAGTGATGTAGCACTATAACTTCTGAAGGCAAGCTGTTAATTGTTCTCACTGATTTATTTTTGGCTAAATTTAAAATCTTACTTTTCTTTACATTGAATTTCATTTTGTTAGACAGGGTCCAGTGTTCAAATACACGGAGATCTGTATGTGGAGGTTATTTTTAGTGTCATCTGCAAATTTGATGAGTTCCCCTTCTATTCCCTCATCTAAATTGTTTATAAAGATGTTGAAGAGTACTGGGCTGTGGTTGTCCATCTATGGTTGAATTTACTTACTTTTAAGAACAGCTAAGGACAAGATGGTTTTTACTATGTCCTGATAGGTAAAGCCATTGAACTCAAAGACGGTGGACCAGTAAAATGCTATGGACATAGTACACTTGGATTTCAGTAAGGCATTTGACAAAGTAGTCCATGATCGATTTCTTGGTAAGCTAGAAAAAAGATGAAAGCTATGCCAGAGATTTAACCTTACTGGGCAAACTTCATCCCTAAGGGGTACTTTTTATGGGGTGAGAGATATTGGCTGGTCCAAGAGACCTATCTTTGTCAATATCCAGATTTTCCCAGCAGTTGCTCATGCCTGGTCTTCATGCGGTTTATCTTTTGGGTTTTGCAGTGTCCACTAACAACATCTTCTTTTAAATTGCAGTTGAATGTGTTTCATTTTAAAATCCTGTCATTGATTTTCCTAACTCCTTTTCCAATTTACTATTTGCAAGGCAGAATGTCAAAGTAGAAGGTATCTTCTGAACTTTCTGGTACTAGATTCAGGGCCTGTGACCACATTCCCTATCTCATCTCATCTCATCTCATCTCACTCATCTCATCTCATCTCACTCATTTCATCTCATTTCATCTCATCTCATCTCATCCCATCCCATCTCATCTCATCTCAACATCATCTATTCTAATGTCAAAGCTGATTCGGATTTTATCCCTACCTGAAATTTTCCTCCCAGGATAACAACAGAAATGGAAGGGAGGGGGTGGAATCATTGGAGGGAATTGGGAGGGGCTGAGGAATCAAGCAAGCCAGTTGGGCCCTGTGAAAGTTCCTTCACTTCAAGGTCATTTTATGAGAACTCTTTGAATGGCACAGACTGTTTTCCAAAACAGAAAGAAAGCATGCTCCATTGGCAGAAAATGGAAAATAGCTGGTCTAAGGGGAAAAGGGGGAAATTTACTTATGCTGCTATCTGTGGGAACCTTTAGAATTGGCTTCACTCCATCTGTACCTATATGGATCTATCAGTAAAATTATATTCTTGGTAAAACTATGTCCTAGGAGTTTCTTTTTCTGCATATGCTAATGGGACAGTTGACATTAAGCCAATTCTCTTAATGTAACCTAATTGGACCCTACCAGGAACTCAACAACCTTGAGATGTTGATGGTTGACAAAGAATCAGAGAAAAAGAAGACGCTAGGAGAAATTCTGGCCTAGGAGGTTCCGGTAGCTCAGCAAACTGGAACAGGAACGTACATCGTAAGCAGAGAGATGAGAAATCTATGCAGCAGCCTGCTAGCACCAGGCAATGCCTGAGGGATGCCCCATCCCAGGGACCAAGAACCCACTGGGTGACAAATATGGGCAAGGAGTGCTAGCAGAAGACCCCATAATTTCTTCAGGGGTCAATGTGGTCTGAGGGAGTAAGTGGAAAGCAAGGTAGCCAGTTGAGTGGGATGAGCCAGCTGAATGGAAGCTGCTGATTGCCACCCCCTGCCCCTCAATAGAGTAGCTGAGAGTGAAGGTCATGCAGTTGATAAATGAGGTTCTGCATGAACATCTGTACAAAGGGTTCTTGGTGTACCTGGTGATATATTAATATACACAGAGACCCCAGAAGAGCATATGAAATTGGCCAGAGTGCTCCTTAAAAAGTCACAAAAGACTGACTTTTATGCAAAGTTAAGTGTAAATGGAAGGAGACAAAAGTGTATATACCAGGAAGCCAGGGATCGTGACACAAGGGTAGCAGGACATTTTGGAATTGTAAACATTCTCCACCTAGTGAAGAGGCAGTTTTGGTGGCCCAAAAATGAAAAAGGACATGGAGGTGTATGTGGCCAGCTGCCCTGTGTGTTTGTCAATGAAAACCCCCCCAAACTACTGTAACCAGTGGCCAACCCCATGAACCCATGGGAGGAGATCTCTATGGACTTTATTGTAGACCTGCCAGAGAGTGCTGAAAATCCCGTAATTTGGACTATTACTGATATTTTTTCTAAACAGGCAAATTTTGTGGCATGCTCCAGGATTCCTTCAGCCCAATCCTTGGCTAAGTTATTCGTGCAGCATATCTATTGACTGCATGGGGTCCTGAAATGCATCATATCAGACTGAGGAATGCAGCTCATGACAAAATTTTGGAGTGAATTCCTGAAGCTAATAGGCTCCTCCCAAGGGCTTAGCTCCACCCACCATTCTTGTATTAATGGAACTTGTGAACCATACAAATGCCATCCTCGAGCAATACATACAATGTTATGTAAATTACCAGCAGACAAATTGGACTGAGCTTCTGTCTTTCACAGAAGTGGCATATAATAACTCTGTACATAGTGGTACAGGATTTAGCCCATTTTGGGTGGCTACTGGGTAGAGTTTGTGCCAATGCCAGAAATCCATCAGGAGAAACCATCCTCAGCATCCTTGGCTGAGTGGATAGAGGTGTTAATGGATATGTGGGCAGTGTGCAAGGCATTAGAGAAGACTAGGGAGGCTCAAAAGAGACAGGCAGACCAGAAGAAGGCACTCCAAAAGGAATTCAGAGTGGAAGATAAAGCGTATCTGTCTAGTAAGTTTTTGAATCTGAGGCAACCCTGTAAGAAGCTGGGATTCAAGTACATAGGACCTTTCTAAATTATTTCGATCATAAATCTGGTGACTGTAGAGTTGCAGTTGCCAAAAAGCCTTAGGTGCATTCATCCAGTATTCCACTGTAGTTTGTTAAGGCCTTTCCATATTCAGCACTGAGATCTGCTACAGAGCCACCTCTCCCTCCAATTCTAGTGAGAGAAACGCACTATGAAATCAAGAAGGTCCTTGATTCCAGGACTCATAAAGAGAATGTCAGAATCCAGTTATATTTCATCTCTAGTTATCAACTATAGAAAACCCCATTTCTGCCTTCTCTGGATTCTGTCATACGATGAAGGGAAGGGGATGAACAAAGGGGCTTTATGGCCCTCACTTCCTTCAGTACACTTCAAAGGGACTGGATGTGGATATCACCAAAAGGACTAACCATAACAATGGGGCTATTACCTTTCATGTACTCCTCTCTGAAGTCTCCATCCAGCCGGCAGTAAGGAAAAGGGGGTGGGAGTGTAAGGCCTGAGACTGTCACTGGAAGAAGGGGGTGATTGGGTGGGGCTACTGGAGAACCCCTTAAAACCTTGAATGGGAGAGCTTGGACCCCAAGTCCTGTCTAGAACGCCTGCAACCATTTTCTCTTAATAAAGGATGCCTGTTGGAAGAACTATTCCAAGAGTTCTGTCTTCTTAAGATGCAAAGTGGGGTGGGTCCTTACAGAGAAGCTGTAATACCTCCTGTTATGCAAAAACTACCCCTCAGCTGAGGCTGAATGGG